CTGTTATAGGAAAATAAACAACGACAAAGATTATAATTTGACACCCCCCCCCCCCCATAATAGCGCATCCAGAAGTGTTTTATTCCTCTTTCATCACAGCCTACGAAGATCATAGATTATTGATTTGTACATTTCATTCGTTTATAGTTGACACTTAATGTAAGTGTATATAACACCTATAAACAGATGGTTCCTCAGCAGCTTCTCTTTTTTCTCTCTGTTTGAAGGTAAATAAGATTTTTAATTCATTTATGCAGAGCATCTGCCATACATGTCTGTCTATAAGTTACTACAGAAACAATAACGTATTAGAACGAGCGCATTAATATACACCTGTGATTTGGAACAGCTGGAACTCCAGTGAGAGCTACTGTTATGAAAATTAATCAGCACTTTCTGACCAATAAGAATCGAGCATTCGACAGCTCTGTTGTCTAAATGATACTTAAGTAATTTATTTTGACACGTCAGACAGATGTCTCAGATGCTACCTTACAGAACAGAACACGAGTTTATTGCAAGTTTGACTTTCATTGTTGAAAGCACAAATTTGTTCTGTGAGTTACGTTTTATGAATTCCTTACTATATAAGCATTTCTTGCATGATGTTAATATGATTAAAAACCATTGGAGCACCAAAATGAAAATTATTGGCTGATGCGTAAAAATATTCAGAATGCAATAAGACTAAAACTGAAAAACAAATATGTGTTTGAAAAATTTCATGTATTTTTTCGGCATATGACTACTCAGGTGCTTGTTCTGAGCAGTGCAGAAGAACAAAATACACAGTGGCTTTATCACCAGTATTTCTTAGTTTCTTATTCTGTGGACATAATAAGAAAACAGAAAGTGTTATATATTGATTTCTACCAAAGTGCTGTTGAACCTGACTGGTCAGAAGGTGTTGATTAATTTTCTATAACAGCAGCTCTGACAGTAGTTCAGGTTGTAGCTCAAATCACACGTTTATATTAATGCGCTTGTTGTAATATGTTCTAGTTTCTATAGTAACAACTCAGGGACTCATATGGTGGATGTGCTACATTATCTAAGGCTAATAATAAACAGATGCGCTGTTATTTAACAAAAGAAAAATACCTAACAATGTTTGTTTAAGATTTATCGAAGGAGACTCCAGTACCAGATAGACAGATACTATATATAATATGTATCTACATATAAACAGATACTATATAGAAACTATAAACCTCTTTCATGAATAAATCTGTTGTATAAGAGGAATAAACTGCTTTGGGACATGCTGTTATTAGAAAATAATCAACTTCGGGGTGGTAACAGTACCTCCGCTTTGTGATGTCGCTGATTTCTTACATATTTGATATATATACTTTGACTCTTTGTAATATTTCATCATCATAAAAACAGCACAACTTGATCTGTGTTTGAAGGAAAATGACACTTGTGGCCTTGAACATCAGTGCCTCCTGAATAAAAACTGAAAAAAAAAAAAGCCAAACCTTGAGGGCATTGTGGGTATGAGGTGGTGATGCCGTACAGGCGCGATCTCTTCTGAGGCAGGAACTCATCCACCTCTTTCCCTGCCACATGGTCCACAGATACCACAGCTTGCCTAGAAAGGCAACATGGACACACACAAACATTCAGCCATGACCATATAAAGCAGCATTAACTGAGCAGTCGAGGTGGAGGGACATTGATCTGTGGGTTAAAGGTCAAGTGAAGCAGCACATTCCAGTGCGAGCAAACAGAATTCCAAAGAGGTCAGCACTGACATGAGAGCCACCGTTCAGACATGGCTGATTATTTCATTTGTTCGGTGAATGTGTGTCAGTAAAACAGTACATTATAAGAAATAACAAAGAAGAATGAATAACTGGACTGAAGCATGTAATAAGGATTTGCAAAAAACTGTTCTGAGAATTCTCAAACATTCTGCAATGCATAGAAAATGTCATAATCAGATATAAGATGTAATTGTTTCAACAATAACACATCAGCTCTACAGCCTAGGGCCATCGGTTTTGGTAAGTTTTAGCATTTAAACGCATTTGAATATATCAGTGGTTGGAAAATTGCTCTGGTATATGAGTTGCAAAACACTTTGGGACATATGGTTATTGGAAAATAATCAGCTAGAAAAACTAGATAATAGAAAAAAATTTGGAGATAAATTAATAGTTGCCATATGGCAACACCATGCAGTAAAGGGTTAATGATAGAGATTTCCACCCAAATTGTCTAACAAAAAAATGGACTTTTTGTGCATCTGTACCTTCTCCAGTCTGTGTAGTAAAGGTTTCTTCCATAGGTGACAATGTTGAAGGGGTACTGTAGTCCCTCTACCACCTTTCTCCTCACCCGTGTGTACGGGTTAATGCACTCCACCTTACGTATACCTGCAACATACACACACTAATTATTCCCAGTCACTTCGCTTCAGACCTGAAAGAATATATTATGTGATTTAGTCAAGGTAAATGCCTGGTGTTAATCTAATGACATCGCCAACCTGCATCTGCCCAGCACAGCTGCCTGGTATGAGGATCAAAGGACAGTCCATTGGGGAGTTCTATGCCATCATTCACAAGTACAGTCCTGTCTGTACCGTCCATGTTGGACATCTCGATCTTAGGGCTGTCTCTGTTCCAGTCTGACCAGTACAGACGTCTGATAAAAGTGAGAAGGAAGGAACAAGAGCTCTTGGTATGACGGTCATGCTTTGGTCATTCACTTTGTTAGGCATAAAGAATCATGACAAATATTTAATCTTTCATTGTATTCCTTTCTAGTTAAACTGTGGTGAATGTGTATGATAATATGGCACACAGAAAATCACACGGCATCAGTTTCAGATGTTGGAGGCATCTGAGCTCAGCGCATACCCATTGACAGGGTCACTGATGATGGCCCTGGGGTTTACGAGGTCAGTGTCAAAGAGCACACGTCGATGCTGTCCGTCTAGCGTAGACACCTCGATCCGGTCCGAAACGGAGTCTGTCCAGTACATGTTTCGGGACAGGTGGTCGATCGCTATTCCTTCAGGACTTCCTAAATCTGTTAGCATGAAAAGAGAGAACATATCTTCAGAGGTATCTATATCTGCCATACCAACTAACTAAAAAGCTTGATTTGAAACATCAGCTGTTTGCAAATACATCTAGGAGAAGCAGAAGTGCTTAGTTGGAAGAAGCCTTTATTTGTCACATATGAATTATAGCACAGTGAAATTCTTTCCTTCGTATATCCCTGCTTGTTTGGAAGTGGAGGTTAAGGGCCTTTTTCAAAGGCCCAACAGTGGAAGCTTGAACCCCAAACCTTTGGATCAGTAACCCAGAGCCTTAAGCACTGAGCCACCACTGCCAATATTTGGCTAATATATTATCCATATTATCATATTTGCAACAAGAACATAAAAAAGGAAAAGTGCCATTAAAGTTCCTAGCTAAGAATTTCTTGAGAAGGACCTATGGCAGAGAATTGTAAGAATTCATAATTTAAGAGTGAGAGTGGGGTCATTACTATGGATGTCAGGTTTCTGTATTGAATTTGAATGAAATAGTTTTATTCGAATAGCCTTTTTACTCTTCTGAGTTGAATGTGAACAAATCAGTGACCTTTTGTGATAATGGCCGTGGGCTGGCCTCCCTGAACGCTGGCTCTGCTGATGGATGGCTGTGTGATGTCGGTCCAGTACACCATCTTGTCCATGCAGTCATATGCCACAGCAATCACCACCTTATCCTGCAGAACACATCAGCATTGCAAGCTTTACAACTGCATACAAGTACAATGATATTTAACGTTAGTTACATTAGCCTCATAACTCCAAAACACGCCTTTGGCTAACTGACTACATTTGTTATAAGGGGGAAGTTATGTAATATGAGTTTTGGTCAAACAGCCCCTTTAACTGCAGACATAACAGAAAAAGAGACAGGCATGTGTGGCTATTGCGAAGTGACCGCAGAATAGCTAGTCTGTGCGAAAGGAATTTAAGGCATTCCAGAGTGGGTGTTACAGATTCAGTGGCATTTTGGTTAACCATTAAAAGACAAAATCTGCCAAATGGGTCAGCCTGGCAGTTATAGAGATACAAGAAACTCTTAAGATACACATTTGTTTTTTAAGCTTGGTTTCATAATCCCAAAACCGATAAAGAATGAGTATTGCAATAATGGAGGTCAGGTTTGTAAAGGAAGTGAGGAACTGAAGAGAGACTTGTAGGCAAGTCCACTGCTGGGGCGTCATTTGTGTCCCACCAATATCACATTTACAAATATCTATGTAAAGTAATGCTTAAGACATTTTAAACCCAGGTAAAATATCCTTCACAAGAATCCGTATGCGTTTCAGATGAGTAACTTAAAACCATAATACTGATCTACAGCATTGTCGCACCTTTTAGATCAACAACATTCACTTAATCTTGTCATATGTTCAACAAGAAGTTGCATCATCTGAATTTCCTGAAAGATCATGGGATCACTTTGAAAGTACAATCCCGTGACCCATATGTTTAAATAAAGCATTAGAATGCCCTTAATGTGTACATGTCATTACCATGGATGCTAGTTAGCCACATTTGTGTTTTGCTATTTCTATGCTAAAAACTCAACCTTGCTCTTAAAACTCATGTAAGAGCAAAATGCAGCCTTTCAGCAAAGAAACCTTGTGGAAAAAATGGCATTGTTGCTTGAGATGTGTTAACATATATTTTTAAAATGGTTAAATGTGTGTTTCCTTTGATGTAATGTTGAAAAATTATTAAAAATGACGATATATTTTTTTATGATTTACTGCAGGATCAGAGCACAAACATGCTTGTCACCACTACATGGTCAGAGTTCATAGTAATTTTTAGACTCCTTTACTGCCATTGCAATGAACAATATGAAGCTTTCCCTTCCTGCCAGCTGACTCCACACCCTTGTAATGAAACAACATATGCCTCACACGTTTCCTTTAAGGAAAAGAGGCAGAGCTGAGTGGTTGTGCTTCAACTTGAGGTGAAAATAAATATAGAAACCTAAAGGAATAAAATTATGGGACCTCTGAGGAGATAAGGTGTGGCCATGAAGCGTGTATCCTGAGCTCATGATTTAACATGTTGTGGGAATGTCACACTTAACACATCACCAGTTAATTATTTGGCACAAATGGGTTTAAAAGTGTATTTGCTTTAAGAATTCGCTTGAGGCGATATGGGCCAAAGGTGTATCCATGACTCCAGTTTGTCTTTATGCAGCATTCCAATATTGAAGCTCAATATTATCAGTCATGTCCGTGATTAGGTTCCTGAGGCCGGAATGGTCTAATTCCGTTGAATTCTCTGTCTCACTCATTTCAAAATACAACAGTTGCCACAAGTTAAGTACTTTGTAGCCACAAAATTAACTTGTGACCATAATATATTAACTTGTGGCCACACTTTATTATGAAATAACCACTATGTCTACGTACACATTACAAGTATCTTGGTGCACTTGTGATTTTTTTGCTCAGATCTTATCTATCTATCTTGCCAGTTCACATTTATAACCACAAGTGACCGCTATCTGTCTTTTAATGAGAACGCACTTGTCCCCTGAAAAGCCCCACATTTGCACACTGTTTTCTTGGGAATTTGTTTCAAACACTACTCAGTTTCAGTAAGTTCCTTCCAATTTTGCTTGAACTGATTCCCCAAATATCAAGTAAATCACCAATTTTCCCCATCCTCCACTGATGTTTTGCCGCTCTGCAGACACTGGATGACGACGACAGTGATATGCGCATATGCATTGGGAAAAAGCCACGTTTAATTCAGATCTGACCATTCTCATTCATGTCACATGGCCACTTATCAGTTATGTATCCAATCTAAGACCACATAAAAAAGTGGCTCAGTTGTGATTTGAAAAGGAATTTTGTGTCCACACAGTCGTGAAAAAATTAGATCAGTGTCACGTTATGGCAAAAACCTGGATTCGTGTCACTTCAGGAAACTAGCAAGCCCCAATAAATTCTCAAAGCTGTGGAAACTCACAGGTAGATGCAGCATGGTCTTAGTCTCCTCTTTCTTCATGTTGCTGCCGTCCAGTGGGATGTTATCTATTTTGCCATTCTGGGCAAATATAAGATTAGCTCCTGGAGGTGGTGGTCTGACATCTGGCCTGGTGGTGGGGCCAACAGGGACAAAGTCCTCACCTAGATGCAGGCAACAAAATGATGAACATACTGTATGACAAAAGCAGCATTGTATTATGATCTCAAATGTATATCCTGTACAAGTGCCTGCAACTTCTCACTTTCAGATGAAAGATAGCACTACAAGCTCTTTCCTAATGACAAGGTGTCATAAGCATATATAATATAAGCACATTATATACAGTACTGTGCAAAAGTCTTAGGCACATGCAAAGAAATGCTGTAGAGCAAAGATGCCTTCAAAAATAATGAAACTGAATGTTTCTACATTAAAAAATACTATAAAGAGCAGTAAACAGTAATAATTAAAACAAAGTCAATATTTGGTGTGACGATCCTTCGCTTTTTAAAAAAATAGTAGCCTCAGGTATAATTTGTGCAGTTTTATAAGGAAATTAGCTGTTAGTTTTTACTGAGCATCTTGCAGAAGGAGCCACAGTTCTTCTGGAGACTTTCACACTTGCTTCTTATTTTTGCAGCAAAACCCAGCAGCCTTCATTATGTTTTTTGTCTGAAAAGTGGTCTCTTATGTAATCTGCTGCTTTCTTTACTTAAATACAAACATTTTTCTGTAACATTTAATTTTACTGAACTTGTACAACAGAGCACCAACCTGGGAGCTCTTGTGTGTGGGTGTTTTTTTTTTTTTTTTTTCTGTACAGTCTGTGCTTACATGTGGGTGTGCTTCCTGGTCCGGTTCGGGTTCCAGCGATCTCCTGGCCATTGGGGTACACGCACCAGCACTGGCCGATGCTCTCATGGCACTGCATAGGCGTGTACTCTCCATTGTGGTCACATGTGGGGATGTACTGGCCTACCGATGGGCGTGGCCGGAAGAAGACATATCCACCGGTAGACGTGGCTGCCAGGGCTGTCTCTCTGTGTCGCTCGCATGCACTCTTCTCACGCACTGAAACATACACACAGGAATAAAAAACAAGCTTTACTTTAGGGCACTTTAAGGAAATAAATAAGCAATGGTAAAATGGTGAGCAAACACGATGAAAGATTTAGTCACCCAGATGAATAAGATTAAAATATGCAGACGCTTTGAAATATTTACTATGCCCGAAACACTATTCCAGACTTTCTGCGGTACACCACATACCAGTCACAACACAACCATTTCCCTAACACAGTCTGCCATAATTATGAACACATGATCACACACATCCTATTCCTGACAGTTTACAAAGGCCAGATCAATACATGGAAAATCAACATAGACAAAGGTAAGAAGAAATACCGTATATGAATGAGATACAATTAAATACAGTGATTTCAGTACAGATTGAACACAAAAAGGAAAATAGAAAAGTACAGAAAGAATGAATGCCTGTTGCATGAGGAGTCATAAAAAAAAGATAAAAAACAAAGAAAACCTCAGGCGTTGGAGGTAATTGTCAATGCGTCACTGTGAAATACCAGCCCTGGAATCAGAAAAACAAGTCCTAGAGCAAACAAGGCCTGATTTTTCTGTCAGAACATAGCAACAGTTCTTGGGGCTATATTTGTGGTATCAATCAAATTATCCATGATTTTTTTAAAAATAGAACAGAAACATGTTTATTGTTGAAACTGTTGGTTTTTATGGATTTTAAGATTTGAATGTAGGTGGCATTAACAAGCAATCACACCAGTAAAAACATTTAAATACAATATGCAAGTTGTATATTTAATACTGACCTGCAGAAAACGTACCACACTGAAAAGCAAAACTTTCCCTGCATTGCTCGTATGTCGCTTGATCTCTTTAATGAAAAACAATCAGCAGTTATTGCTTTTAAAGAATTAAACGTTGACTGCATTCGAAGTTAATGTAATTCCCTGTTGCCTTGCATTTCACATTCATCAGTGTGTTGCAGTAGTGCCACGCTGAAATGCAATCACTGTCCACTCACAGCCCTAAGCCGTACTCAGGGGTGTGGTTGTAATCTGAGAAAAGGAGAAAGGACTGAAAGCGGCATTTTCCAGGAGGTACTGCCATCCTTATAAAGGAACGCCAGTTCACAACAAGAGTTATGTTACTGAATTTCCTTTGCCTTTCTATCTTAGACAGAATCACACAGTTACACCTAATGCATTGGTGTGGATTGCTTTTAAATTTAATTCCCATTTACTTTAGACACACGTTCACAAGTAGAGATGAAGAAACAATGAGAAAGGTGTTAGTT